TGGGACAACGATCCCCAAACTGTACGGGTTGCCGAAGGTGCACAAGGAAGTGGTACCCTAGCGACCGATTCTGGATATGTGCAACTCACCGTACCACGCACTTGCAAAATGGTTGGCTAAATTACTAGAGCCCATAAGAATTGGATTAGCGAAACACAGCGTACGAGACACATTCACTTCTGTGAACAGCANCAGCATTCGTGACTTAAACTTGATGGGTCGGACAATGCTTTCATTGGACGTTAGCTCGCTCTTCACCAATGTTCCAATCAGCGAAACCATCAAATACCTATGTAGTTACGTACAAAGTAACAATGTTGAGATAGGCCTTCCTTTAGAAGACCTGAAACGACTGCGTTACTTTTGCACATACAACGTCCAATTCAAGTTCAACGAGCAGATTTATCGACAAAAGGATGGTGTGACTATGGGATCAACTCTAGGACCGTTGTTTGCCGATGTGTTCAAGGCGAAACTCGAAAATAACCAACTCAAACCTTCCATTTCAGGATTGTGTGTTATATACACGATATGTGGATGATATTCTGTGTGTGATCAACACGAAATCAGGAACAAATGAGCTCTTGAGTAAATTCAGTGCTGCTCACCAGAACATAATGTTTACTTTAGAAATGGAAAACGACAATTAATATGCATTTCTAGATGTCTGTTTGAGTCGTAGATCGGATGGCTCGGTGCCACAGCGGAAGCGGTAGGAATTCGGCTGCACCACCACTGATTTATATATTAATGGCATCCAGTGCTTCCGAGCTTTTCAGTTCACGCTTCATTTGCAATTTACACAACGAATTCTCATTTGATAATATTTATTGTGATGTATTTGGCATGACTACGAATTTACTGGAAACGAGCTTGTTCGCCCCTCCTTGTTGAATTTATTTTATTTACTAGATAAGTTATTTAGCCGTATTGATTGTTATCAAAGACTCTTCTACCATATATCGGCCAGAGTAGACTGCCTCTTGTTGAGCTTACACTGCGTATGGTGTATTGCGGAGGACGACTTTATTCAGCCATGTGATTCCCACTTTGTCTCAACAATTTCGGAACCTCCTGTTCAATGTTTATCTCGCTAGATCAAGGTTGATCGTGATGCATCAATTCCAGTCATGCTTTTCCAGTCCGCTCAAGCCATGAATCTTTTTTTCTAGTTTATGTGTTTTTACATTGTTTCACTGGATGTTCATAATCAATTCTGCTGTTCAATCATACCGTGTCATTCCGATCATCAATTTTCCGCTGAATGTTTTCTCCCTAACTTGTCTCCCCTCACATGTTTATTTATCCGGGTAATATCGGAGTTACTCCGCGTCAGTTCTGGTCAATGCTAACTATATTTGGTTTGCAATTGCAATGTAAAATCTCCGTTTCATTTTGTGTTCGGTTTCGGTGAGCTCGCACAGTGTGCCATTGCGGACAGTTTCTTTCAGCTGTGTGCATTGCCCGACTAACCATGATCTCTTCAATATGTACGGCAGAAATGCGCCCCGAACAGATAGCTGTTGGAAATGATGTGGACTGATTGTAGCTCAGGATGCGGATGTTGGTGTTGGTGAGTTCTCCGAGCCGGAAGTGTTGTTCGTAGACGTTTCGTAGTCAAGCTAGCCAATATCACCAGTGCGACTTCGGGGAAGCATTAGTCCTTCCCCAAAGTCACCGACACCAACAAGATAGCTGATGAGTTTCACTGAGTCTTCTGACCGGTGGGATAAATATTTCGATTATAGAGTTCTGGTCGTTTTTTATCACAAATCGGTCTACCCTCAATACAAACTTCTAACTGTGATTCCTCTCACACTTCCACTTCTCTCTCTCTCTGTCTCTCGGTGTTATCCGATTTCAGCCGTCATACGATCAATTTTATGCTTTTCTGCATTCCGTGTTTTGGCCCGACTGACATTCTGTGCCTATATCCTGCATCCGATCATCATTCTATTCTGGCACTACTCGCTCAAAGAAACGATCAATATGGACTATGTGTACATGGTATGTTGCGATACATTTCGTGCTCCCCGCGGCACCTCCCTTCTGAGTATCTCTCTCCCCGCTCTCCCCAGTTGAATGCTACGCGTTTATAGTGAAATAACTTTCTATCCCGTGTCTGTTTTGTATGCGGACGTGCATTGGTTTAGGAAAGTTCCCGTTGACGAGCTAGTTCCCGAGAATAACTACCAATATTATTCACAATAAGCAGCAATTAGTGATTTAAGAAAACAAACAAAGAAATCCATATTTTCTTCATCAAAAAATAATCTATTCTTATCTGGTGCTCAATTTGAAGCGTATTGCTCACTGAACGTGGTGCAATCGATTGCTTGTTGTGACCCCGAATCACACACCGCATACTAAATGAAACTTCGAAATCGATTTTCAAATGTATATACTTGATCATGGAATGAATTGTCCTGTTCTTAGCATCTGAGGCAATGAATAACAAAGGAAACTCAACTGCTGTTTTGTCATTGATAAGACTCATCGTTCCTGTGTACATCTTATGGTCTTACCTATCGGGAGCTTTCGTGCTAGCAACCGAAACCCTTGAGCTACACAGTTAACCCATCCTTCCTCTCTTTGGGAATATGACTGGATCACTCGAATTTGAAACGGTCTCATTCAGTCCACAAGCGTTCAAAGAAAATCGGGCTTGTGCATTGATTTTCTAAAAAATTTGATTAAGTACACATCTTTTCCATAAATTATGTTTGTGAGGTCTACAATAAGCAAGGCAATGCACATATCCGGATATTTGTGAATCTATACGGATTGAATAAGATCATCAATATTTGGATTGTAATCTGATTACTTTGGGGGGCAACAAAAATAAGACTGCATTGTGTTCAATTTCAGAGATCCCCGTTTCAATTTAAGATAATTCGATATCAGTTTAAGGGATTTATTTAAATGCGAAAGGTGGTCTACAGAGTGAAGTGAAAACGTTTGAAAGCAAAGGGTTTTCCGAATTGACGATCAAGTCATTGAGTAATGCATAACATTTTGAAGTATGACGTGTTTTAGCACAGAACTCCGGGCATTATTGTATTCCCTAAGCAAAACAATCTTCAAACGCTCCGCAAAATATCTTCCACGTAGTACCGGAATATGTTAATTTGGTAACGGGTATCTGAAATTGAGAAGTGGACCTCAGAAGCACTGATGATGTCACCTCGGCTGGTGATGAAAAACGTTTGCCAATAAATTGCCAAGCTCGGCAGAAAGGCAAAATGGAATGGTTCGTCTATCTTTACTGTTCACCAGAAGGCGCTGGTGCACAAGAAATAATAGTTTGTACTAATTTTGAATCATTTGATTGTGACGGGTTTGATATTCTGAAAAATAATAGCTCCCGGTGACAGACAATTGGTGAAATCATTGTTTTGCTGGGGTGGGTTTATTTAAGAACAAAAATCACACCTAAAAATAACTTGATGCATTCTCTTTCAAAAAATTATTTCTCTGCCTAAAATAATTAACCCTGACAGATATACAAGGAGAACGGCGACATGGAGATATCCGGTTGGCACGTGGTTTCAACTAACCATGAAAGGTGCTCATAAAAGTGCCACAGGCATGAAGTGACTAAATTGAGTATCGTGGAGACGCCATTGTGAATCGCAATCATTGCGGTAGAAACGGTTAAAAGCCTCATCATCCTATATTGAGCAACTCGCTAAAAACAGTATTCAGTTTAAACTGATCAGCCCATACTTGGAAAGTGAGGTGAGAAAAACGCAAAGCACAGCTAGATTTCCGGAAAATGTAAGGTCCCTGTGGTGGTAAAATATTAAATTTATATATTTAACACCGACTTGTAGATAAACCTGGTGCCAACTCCACAACGGTAATAATAGGGGGCAGGTGTATTGCAATTCAGAACAAAGTGGAAAGAAGGTGAAACAGTTAAGCACGGGAAAATTTTAAATGACTGGGACAACTAATTTTTGTGTGTTCCATTGTACAGTTTTTGATGTTTCGTTGCGTTGTTTGTTGTTTTTACGGTGCACGAGAGTTCGACGGGCAGACCGCACAGCATTCACGCCACTGACATCTATGCTGGGTCATATATCTCACCGTCTCTAATCCACGACAATCCACATCCCTTGGGCTCCAACCTGGAAGGCAGGCTACACCAACCGAAGCCAAAGCTAAAGCCAGCTTATTCCTACCTCTACGCCGTGTCATGGCTTGAGTGCAGCGGCCCTCCTTTCAACCTTGCGGGGCACGTGCAAAGATAGCATGGAAAACTAGTCAGTCGGTAGACATACGTGACTAAGCCGTCGGAGGCGGTGTAGAACAATTACATCTGTTAGAGAACGACTATCAGCACCCAACAAATGACGAAGAATATCGTCATTAATCACCCAGTTTTCCCACCAGACACGAGAATGCTTTTGATAAATCGGTAGTCGAATACAGAAAGCCAATTAGCATCCTCAACTCGGAGGGTCCGGGTCTCGCAACCGTGAAGTAGAACACTACCAACCGCGGCGATGTAAACCCTTCCCTTCAGGGACAGTCGGATGTCATGCCAGTGCCACAGGTGTCGCAGGTTGGCGAAAGCTGCTCTAGCTTTCGCTGTTTGTGAGGTGATCTCCTTCTTCACCACCACCACCACCACCACCACCACCACCAGCTGCTATCAAGGTCCCGAGGTACTTAAGTACCTCTCTCAACTACTTCTAGCCAATCATCACAAACAGTGAGTGCAGGCACGGACCACTGATTATAACCATCTAGGGTGTCGGTTAATCTACCTTTCCGGATTGAACATGGTATTCTTCAAAGAAAACAACCTCTTTGTTTATTTCATTTTATCCCAGTTCGACGTGGCAGAGACTGCAACTTCATTTCCGTTTACGAATAAATTTGCACAGCGAGAGAGAGAGAGAGACACGGTTGTGTCTTCTGGTTTGTTTTAACATCAAACGCATTGTTCTCTTTTGTTGCATCCGATGTTCCCTGAGAAGCACCCACAAGCACGTGAACTTTTTTAACGTGATCACGAACTGATTTGTCCCGAAAGTACCACATCAATCATTAACCAGTGACGGTGTTCGTTAAGGGGTACCCGTTTTCATCGCTTCTAGTCAACTCCGTCGTAGGCAAAATGTTTGCAAGTAAATGGGCAGGTACGGAAAAGGTGTGCAACTTAGAGTACGCTGGCGGTGTCTTTTGCCTGTTAAATTGCATGGGGGTGCACAAACTGCAATTGAAAGATTGGCAAACTATGTTGCTTCAACACAGCATGCACTTTGGAAGAGCAAAGTATTGCGGTATCGACTACTGTCTTTAAACTAGCTGGTTAGGAATGGTCTGAGTTTGACTACTTGTCCTAATTAGGCAGTTGCGCAACAAACTACGGAAAGATAATGGCACGCCTTTCTAAGGCTGGAGTGGTGTATACGAGACTGAAACATCTGTGTTCAACGTCATGTTTCACTGACGTTGAAATGTTACGTTTATTATGCCACTCACTGTTCGGTCACTTCTGCTTTAGGGTTACGAGACCCTGAATCGTCGAGCAGAAGACATTCATCACTTAGAGCGTTTTGATAATCGTTGCTTACCGAATCTGGCCTATGTGATATGGGGTAAGTGAGTGGGTTAACAACTTAGATGAAAGTGATTCTGATGAAGAATTCGCTATCGCATCGATATCAGCGTAGTGGACTAGGCTGGTTAGGGCACGACTTGTGTAATTCTTACGGTCGCCTCGTATGCAATTGCCGTTCTTGGATAGGGGACATAACGTGGAGCTCCACAACTGACACGGAAGCGAGATGTGAAGGAATGCACAGAACAATTAGGTAGAATAGGTGCTCCCATCTTCCAAGCTGAGTTTCGAACAACTCCGTAACTAGTTGTACGAAAACACTAAAGGATATGGCTCCTAGCCGATAGCCGTGCCATTCTGGTTATCAATTCGTATGAAAGCACAGTGCTTGAAAAATTTATGTGCACAGTTGGGCTGTGTATTCCGAGATTTAATATCTTCTTTCGCAAAATAAACCCTATACGCCTTACACGTTCTCAGTTGTATGCATTGTGAGTTTGGCAACGATCAATGAATTTCATTTCGCTGTACTCCACTTTACAATGATTATGATGATGACGAAGATGAGGATAATAATAAGTCACTTTAATTGTCCTCTTTGAAATGGGGTCATGATAAAGCGGACAGATAAGTACCGTTTATCATTCATTCTTAGTGCATACCAAGCCAATGGAAAGAGCTCACCTGACCTGAGTAGATATGAATCGTTGCCATGCCCTTTAAGGTTAAATCTTCAGTAGCAACATTCATAGGTACAATACAATAATTTTAAGGCTTTTCATATTTGTATGACAAAATGACACGACATAATGAATCCTTTTTCAATCCTTTTTAATCTTCCACAACACAGGAAGAAATACCTTTCTGAGACGGTCGGAGAATGGAATAGTGAAAGGTTTAGATGAACATGAGTAAATGATAGTCATTGACATTCACCGAGCAGTCCTTTTTAAGTCATTTGTTTGACCATGTTTTCTCATTCCCACACACCCATCCTCGATTTCTCCCTGTTTTACAGACGTTCGTGTTGTTTGCGGTGTGGTCCATGTCCTATTTGTTGGCCATTTTGTTCTCCGCCGGCACGGAAATTCCCGTAATCAGCTTCGAAAGCTTGAACAGACGAATTCGTAAAGCCCAGTAGGGCCACGTTACTGGTCGTCAGGTGTCTGGCTGACCCACCCGTCCACGTTCGCTTCTTTCTATATCGGGATGTTTTCAATTGATTCCAGTGAAGAACCTCTTTTCCTCCCTCGACTAATCATATCAGATATGAGATTTCGCACTTGACGGTTTTCGATCAGATAACAACTTGTTCTATGTTTATTTTTTTTTAAACATTTATTCATCATTTCTTGCTTCATTCAAAACCCACTTTATTTTCAAACAAAGTGTTCTCTGACGGTATTTTGGATATTGCAATCCCCCGCTTTTCCCCTCTACCACGTCCTATTTTATACTGATACAGATGTGTTTTTTTTTTGATAAATCGGATTCCTTAATCTTTGTCCCTGCTCACCCACAATTTGATATGATTTGAACATCGGGGTTATACTTGATTGTTTCTGTCACACATGTTTATTTGATTTGGACTCAGTGCTTCCTATGCTTCTCAAAGTGCACTATTCTACACTTTGGTTTAACGTGCTATTCAATTCTACAAGATAAACTGATCCCAAAGATTTCTGTAACCAGTAAGAGGAAAAATCAAAATGAGTTTCTACTCTCATAGCGACCGGTAGGTTGTGATGTATTTCATTTTGCACAAATCAGTATTTCCCATCAAACACTCATGATACCCAAGACTGACTTCTCACCCACCCCCACCCCCGGTTATTACCTTGAAGAAACATCACCAGGGTCCTATCGGACCGGGATAGGTGAGAAATTCAGAACCAAGATCCGTTTGCTACTGTGCTTTCTCTTCTGATAGTCTTTCTCTGTGACATCACATTTGTATAATTCACTTTTATTACTTGTAACCTTTCTGTCACAAACAAGTGTACGAATGCGAACTCAATGTATTCTCTCTTACAGTTATCGCAAAACCATCTACACTGTGTGATGATACTCTGTGTATTTATGTGGGAGTTGTATGTAGCTGAATGCCATATTCAGCCACCTTGACAGCTTTCGCATTCTGTAAACAATGCTTTGCGGCAATCTAGATCACAAGATATACACACAAGCCTCATCCAAATTGGCAAATTCAGCTGAGCTATAAAATTCTACCCTGGTAGGTAGGTGATTCGACTCTTAATCCACTTCAGGAACAGTAGAGTATGCAGACCAGAGCCGATGTAGCTCCTGATAGTGGTGGAATCAGGTATTGTAACTGAGACAACCAATTCAATCTGATCGCTAACATTCCCAGCGGCTGGGTTCTGATGTGTATGTAATCATGTGAAACAAAACACTGGACGGAGACGATGGGTAAATTTAAGCTCTTCTTAAAACTTACTGCATATTGTATGACCACAGGAAATGCTGGACAGCCTGTCTTTGATATGTCATCAATGTCATTCCCTACAGCGTTGTGGACTCTAAGGTTCTAACATGATATCACAGGGGTCACTTACCATACGTACTTGAAAAGCAGGCATCACCCAGTGCTACAAACGAGAAGGATTTGGGAGTTCGATGCGGAATAGGACGTTCCACATACAGTCAATCTCCTGTAATGTCACACCCATGATAAGTCGCATTTTCTAATTTGTTGCCACTTTCTAACAAACCCAAACCGACCGTGTATGTAACAATATAGATCCTGACCATGCAATGTCGCTCCTGATATTTAATCACTTGGTCACTGACCGATGCACCGGTTGAGCATCACAGCATTGGAACATGCAATTTCACATTCAGTCAGTGAAGTTTCATGTGGCTATGGTGCAGCCACGGAATGTATTATCGCTTTGAGGGCGAGTTTCCAATGGTGGAGAGCTTCGTTTCCAAGGTGGTTAAACTAACATAAAAAATGCATCATGATGGCTTCCAAAGATTGGATTCACTCTTGGTCAGACAGATGTGGTACTCAGTTCGACAAAGTAAGCAACTAACAAAGTTTAACTGTTCCACGTGATGCGGTGGACCAATCTCGAGTGGGATTTCCATAGCGTACTGATCCCTAGACATGCCAATTGTGATATTTTCTGTACTGATGAAACAACTCCAAACTACAAGCAGCTCCCAGAAAGAACATTAAGTTTCAAAGAATAAACAGTTTCTGGAAGCAATAAATTCGAGGAAAGAGTCACTTTACTGTTTTGTGCAGACATAACTGTGCACCAGTTATGACCGATGCGTTATTCCAAAGTTGCCTGTCCGATTTCAACCACAACGTGATTTCCCAAGAACGATCCATATTACTACTAATAGATAACGCCAATGGGCATAGCGAAGCCGCAGTATTCTCGAATGCAAATTTAGTATGTCTGCCTCCAAACTATTCAATGATCCAGGATATGATTTGGTTTTTCAAATATCCTTTCCGGGCTTTGGTAGAAAGAGAGACGAACATTCTCATAGCCTTGCATCTAAACATCATCCGCGTGTACCGATCAGCGCTTTCATAAAGCCGGGTTCAAATCTAATGTGAATTAGTCAGGAATACAGACAGCTACTAGAGGATTAATGTCATGTGATCGAAAATGTCACGAATTGTGTTTCTGTTTATGACCGTCTTTCTGAAAAAGAAATCGCCTATTTCCAATCAGATGGAGAAGTAGTTGGTTGGTTGCAATTTTTGTGTCAAATCTGTCTTAGAGGTTAGATAAAATCTCCTCAAGCCAATCAATCTAAGCGTCCCACAGAAGAACATAAACACGAATCTGTGAACGAATCGAAAATTAACTCAAGCAGATAAGCACGGAAGTGAAAGGATCAATTCAAGTTGTCTACCTTGACTTATACTCTGATTTCGGATGAATCATATTGGATCTAAATAGCACATTGGTTAATTTCCATCGGAGAGCCGAGCTAAATCAATCGACGATCTATCATTTTGTTACAAGTAAATCGTTATCGTCTAAACAGGTTTCTTTTGTAGTACTGTGGAGAGATTGGAATGTTTTTATTCATCTGTTACTGTTACTTGAAGTTTTACGATAACCTGGCTGGTAAGTGCGGTATTGAGTAGGTTTCTAGGCCTGCAGTCGATCGATAACCGCTATCGCAACCAGCCTTTGGGAATAGTTGAAAGACAATCAGTGTGGAAGGTCAATGACCAAAGATCATCGTAACCTGGGTCTACTTCGTGAATCACATAAATCGCTGCGGTTTTCACTAATAACTGAAACCTAATAACGTAGCCGCAAGGAATGTATCGATCGGGTTTAGTATAACATGACAATAACAAAAACAAAGGAGCAAACGAATGGATGTTTACAGACACTGTGGAACACATTTTTCAGCATAAAAGCATTTTAGATTGTCAATATGTGATATATAACCTGTTTTTTATTCTGTAGTAAGCAAGAGCTGTTTGGATACCCTCGGGTTAAGCAGAGCTGAATGCCACCAGACGCGTCCCCGGGTTGTGGATAGAGGGATATCTTCATCGAAGACGATGTGAATAAGTTGTGGTATACCGCAACAAATAAGCAGTCGCGAACAAACAGCGGTGGCACTACCAGGGTATGTTAGGTTTCAGGCTGGTCACCTGCATCCTGTTTTAAAGCCACATAAGACCAATGATGGTGTCATGGCAAAGTCGATGTGACTGGCCTTTTAAAACTAAAGTCATTGACCCCCTGACTTCCGAGGCCAGAGACTACTTCCTGCTGCGCTGCAGTTTGCACTTGGTTGTACAAAGACTAGAGGTGCGCCCTCAAAATGAAAAGCGCCGAGTGACGCTGGGGACGTCTCTCGTACAAAACTCCCAAGTAACTTCATGATCACGGGGCGGACTTATTCTTTCCCAGGAGTTAGCTTTAAGAAAGTAAGTACCAGCTGAGATGCAGCGAAGTGATTCCGGAATTAAATCGTACTCGCTTGCAGTGTTGTGTTCTATGTTTCAGGAAAGCGTTGATCAGTAGGTGCGGATACACAGATACCTAGGCTTTCTCAACTAGATGCATGGCCATGAGAATATCCATCTCGGCTTTCATGATCAGTTGCTCATCTTCGATCAAACACAAAACATATTGCAGTAAATGTTTCCGAAACGAACATTTGAGAGACTAAATCACACCCTGATCCATCTTCTTAACATTGAAGAACAGTTCAGAGGCAGCTGTTTGACATTGGAGAATAATGCACCTGTGTTATGGTAAGGGGCATTGTCCATAAATGGTGAAATAGAGCTCCTTTGAGAAACCATTTTGCGGTTGACATTGGACAGACAGCTGTGAAATAACGCAGAGGTCATCCATGCGTTCTTTGAAGAAATACTACTGCATTGAAGTGTTTTGTATCTATACCTCCGAGGCATTGTGGAGTTTGAAACTTTCCAGCGACCAACGGTGATAACTTTTCTCCAGTCATGCTCCCACAAGTCAGTAACTTAACCCTCTTTCTGGGTTTCTTGGACCCAAAAATTGTCTTTTCTTTTAAACTTAATGTTCTTTCCGGGAGCCACCTGTAATAAAAAGCTGTTCCATCTACATTGAAAATATCACAGTCAGCATATCCATGTATCAACAGCGGTCACCCCGCTCGAAACTCATCCACTGCATTACGTGATACCGCTAAAATTTCCCTACAAACCTATAAAGTAATGCACATGAGTTGCTTGTTTCTTACTTTGTACGATTGAATACTATGTCTATCTGACCAAGAACGAAACTTAATTTGGGATCCTTTAAGTCGTTCTGTAACAATCGTTATGCTAGCTGAATTGCCTTTTTATATGCAGTGCTCTCCACCGTTGGCAACATTCTGTGATTTCTCCTCACAGCATTAAACCAAGCCAAATTGGCCTCATTCACCGTCTTGGACTTTTCGTTGATATTCAGGCGGCATCTTTCCCCCGATGCTCCAATGTTCAAAAGTTCTCCGATAGTCGTTCAATGGGATATAATATTGTAGACAGTTTTTCGTGAAATTCCAAATGATTCGGCTACGGAGCTCCGAGTTGCACCTGTCTGATTCAGCATTTCCAACACATTCTGCTTCTCTCTAATCTATAGGCGCTTGCACATTTTG